GGTCCACTGGTTTATTGAAGATGGCAGGTGTCCTCTAGAGTCCGATCGATCTCGGGTCCCACTCAACGTCTGGGGAAATCGAACCACCACTCTGTCGTGAGGGAAGGTGATGGGACTGGAGGTTGGACACTAATTTATGCTGATGGTTTATGCTCCTCACTATGTATGATTCTCACAATAGCAGATGCAGAGAAGCGGAGGTATCCTTCCGACCAAAGCCTGGATATGTACGTACATGTACGTGCTTCTTAATAACTGACAAGGTCGATCTAACAATTTCACCTGAATTTGAATCATTCCAATTTGGAGTTTATGTCAAGACAAATACTTAGACAATGACATTGTAGATTTCGTCGGCATCCAACCACATGGCTGACATTCCACAGGTGAAAGCAGACGAAAAGCTTGAGGTCCAGACTACAAGGGTACTGATACAATCCAGCAGAGAGGGACTACAGCATCCGAACCCTGTCCTCTCAGTCCTCCCGAGCATTCAGAGACGAATCTAGGCCTATCTCGTACATGAAATTAAAGATGAATTTGCAAATCTGGCAAGGAAGTCATGCTCGTAACCTTTGCTCATCTAATGCATTTGTCTCTTCTGCTCGTCAGTCTAGAAGAACTGACGACGTGTATATATGTACATGTTCCGCACCCCCATCCAGCAACTATGCAAATCAAAGGGTTGAGACATGCGTGCCGACCCGATGCTCTAGTCCAATCTGCTCGTACAGATGCAGTGCTGCCCATGGTTCCCATAATGGATATGAAAATGCCAAGAATGCTATGCTCCGTCTTTCCCATGCAGTTGGTGCCCTCCTGTCTCTTCCATCAATCTCGCGTCCGCTCGCGCTATGGAATAGCGATGAATATTCCCGTCCGTCCGTATCGCATAAATCGTCAAATCGTTGCAGGATCATTGATGCTGCCTGCCCATGTTTCGTAGGAGTGTCAAGAAGCCTCACCCCGTAATCCATATTACAATAATCCCACAGACCTCGAGTCCCATGGGTCTGTCTGTTCCAAAAGACCTCGAGTCCCAGGGGTCTGTCTGTTTGTCACGTTCTCTTCCTTTTGTTTGTCATTTGCCTTCCAGTCCAGCCGTTTATTGATCATGGTCCCCCCGTCGACTCCTAGAAGACGGATGGTCCCGAAACAACAAAGGCGACGACGGCCTCGACGTAGCCAATCCCACGGCTCCAGCCGCGTCCATCGGATTCAGCAGCTTGCTGGGATCGATCTTGGGCGTGCTATCGATCGTGGTCTTTTCGTAGCTGACAATGCTAATAGGCGGCGGGCGGGCGCTGCGTTTTCTGCTCTCCGGCTCACTGTAGAGATATGTCGATCCCAGTACCAACGCAGTGCCGAGAATAAGCTGCAACAGCAAGTTAGTATCCAACAATGTGACGGGAGGGCACGGGAAGACATACCGATGGCGTAATGGCAAACTCAAAGAACCAAACGCTGAATACAAAACTGACAACGATGCTGATACTTGTCGCAAAGTTCTTGGCAATGTTATCCGCGTAGTTGATGCAGATACTCGTCAAGATTCCGCTCGCCGCCTGTAAAACAATCGCCGTCCAGACAACCGCGTTATATCCATCGAAGAAACCATGCTTGGCGATATCAGCGCCGTCGTTGATGATGACACCAAAGATGAGCGCGGGGAAGAGCGAGTAAAAGCTGAGCTGGATATTCCTTATCCATACGGAAACATGGGGAGTCGAGGCCGAGTCTTTGAGGACCTTTTCGAAATAAACGCCCGTGAGACCCGAGACAGTCGCTGAAATCAGTACAGCCACCAGGCCAACGTGGTAGTTCATGCTCGGGACGTTGCCCTGCAGGTCGTCTTGGATACCCTCGTAGGTCGCAGATCGGCGGGTCAGTTCGCTTCCAACACCCTCGAGTCCGCGGCGGGTAAGATGGATCGCTGCTTCGGCAACGTTGGCGGCCGAGTGGCCTAGCTCGTGCATCGACCGAGGAAAGAAGTGGTCGCTGAAGTCGTGGATCGTGAGAGACGGATCATTGGGATCTGACGACGGGAGGGACACCACCGACACGCCGAGTGTCAAGACCACGAGGGCTACCCAGCGCTTGACACCCAGCGTCCGACCGAGGAGGATGACGCTGAAGAAGGCCGTTGTGAGGATCTAGATCACGCAGCGCGCCGCATGTTAGCAGCAGATCCTCATTAGAGCCCTTTCCTAGGCTGATTGGGCCCAGTTATGCTGGATTTTGCCCACCTTCAACTGAAACAAAATCTGGAAGTGCACCGCGTCCAGATTCCCCAGCGCAACATATTGCAATGTGTTCTCGAGAGTATATAGCATCGCAGGGATCGCCAGCTTCCACCCGTCGCCCTTAAAGACGGAGTTGTAGATCTGCTCGAAAAGAACCGTCACGGGTGTCTGGGGCGCTAGGCTGCGCGAGACTTCGTGGAGCGCGAATGTGAGGGAGATGGCCAGTTTGAGGACCTCGTTCAGGAGCACGGCGGTCGACGTAAAGTATCGGTGGTCACCGGGGGGCTGCATTCGTCGCGAGTAGTGCATTATCTGTTGTGTTTGGAACGGTGTTAGAAATATATCTTTCACAGAGTCCGGGATGGAGTTTAGGGAGCAAGGAGGGGGAGAGTGTCGACATACGAGGATTAGGGCAGAATTTTGCAAGGTAAGCTATACAAGAACATATCGTCAGTAACAATGTCTTCCCACGTTCTCCTCGGGTCTGCCTACTGTGATCAGGGACGCCTGCTTGGCCGGGATGCCCAAGAAGGACGGTCCATCCGGCCCCTTGTGGGCCGAAAGTAACGGGGACATGGTAGACGGTGTGTGGATGTTCCAGTAGGTAAGCTCCGAGGGACGGTCGGGGAACAGGATTATGGAATTAGGCGCGCCGAATGTATTCCTCGGAGTCGCAACGCGTGGTGAAAGGCTTCCAAAATGCGGCGCAAACTCGTCGTGTCAAAAGTTTCTTGGTGTTGGTGGTCGAGGTGCTGGTGCTCGTGGAGAATCGTGCGACTGAAGAAAAAGGGGGCTTGCCCGCGACGTCACAGGTGTGGAATCCTTGGTCGTGCGTCGTGCGCCAGGTTGCCAGGTCGCACAAGACAGGTACACAGTCGTACAGTTTGTCTCGCGTCTCGAGGCCACTTGACGACTTCTGGTTCGTTAAGTTCTCTTACGTCCGTCCTGCGCTGGATCAAGAGAACGCTGCACAGCAGGTGTGTTTTTCTCTCGGAGGGAGCAGGAGAAAAGAAGTACCAATTCGACCAAGGAAGACAAGAGACAAGTTGACGCGGAGGAACGAACCGGGGGAGCTGTTGATGCCAAGACGCTGATTTTATGGGGTTTAGGGTGGTGCACCAATTTAGCCCCTGTCCAGCTTTGGAGGGCCTTGCTCAATGCTTAACCAAACAACAGAGATGATTCGACGAGTTGAAGTCCTTTTGATCCCATTGGAGATCTATTTCTCCTGTGACTTCTTTTTTAGCAAAGAAAAATCTGCAATAGGGTCTCAGTGCCGTGTAGCCGGATGAAGTCGTTATGAGGTCTGGATTTCAGGTTCTCGGCTCTCCCCCTTGCAGCCCCTAATGCAGATCTTGGGACTCTAAAGATTAGCGACCTGCCGGGTACATCCATGGACAGCTGAGGCCCCGTCCAAGCTGCAGGGCGCCAAGTACCGAGCTGGTACCGCGCTATACGACAACCCGGTAACGGGGAATCGTGGTCGAGGGGACCCGCCCCTTTTTTTCTGGACGCTTGTGTTGTGCATTTTCTTCAACAGAAGAACAGGAAGTGGCCGGTACTTTTTTACTATAGGAAGCAGCTCTGGTATTGTTTCCAAACGAAAGGAAACACATTCTTTTCCGTCGGAATTACTTAAGAATACTTCCAGATTGTCTCACACCATCGTGTTTGGTCAGGTGGTATTGGCATGGGAGCAATTATAGGGTTTTGGTCTTATGCCCTCTGCTGTGCACTTGAAGGCAACCAGCACAACCAGCTATCTCCCGCTCAACGATGATCATGAGATGCAGACAAAGCAAAGCGCTAGATCGGTCCTGACCGCCAGTTCCTACCAATAAGCTCCAATATTTTAGAGGTCAATGATGCTTGAGCTCCACGTACGTCTATTTCCCCGCCCCTCCATCACTTGGGGGCCTTCACACGCCATAACGCCGGTGTTACCTATACTTTCCCACCGCCACTTCCATCATCATATTCAAGTAACATTCAGAGTTGATGCTTGACGGATATTCAAGGTGTAGACCGGCAACGAGGAATGCTATTAAACAGGATAGCCGCCATATTCCGCTGACGGACTTGCCAACATATCGCAGCTATTTTGACCACCGAAACTCCCCATTTTATACCCTTTGGCCCAAAATGGAAATCCTTCGAGGAGGTCGGGTGGCCAGCACCCGGCCACAGATTCCTTCATCTAGACCCAAGTGGCCCCAAATCTTCCACACCACAACGTGATCAGCGACGTACATGCGTACATAAGTACTACTCCAAGAACAGGAGAAGGGGGGTCACGAGCATTCAGCATCACTATTTCCCCGCGTCTAAAAGATCTAGTGACCTCCTCTGCATGCTTAGCCCCTGCGAGAAGATACGCCTATGTCTTTTTGGATGCATCATCGGTCGGAGCCCGATCAAAAGGTCCCGTCTCGCCCGCACAAATCGCCGATCCGGAAATTTCGATCTGCGCTTCCCGGATCCGTACGCTAGACCTATTCGGGACTGGCCATCTCTCCGGGGCCCGCTCCATCACGATCCCGTCCGAACCGCACATTCGGGTTCGGGTGCCGGGAAGATCCCTGACTCTGGACATTCCGGGAATTGTGATGTCATATCCTGTTGATATGGAGCTCTTGTGGCCGCTTTTCTTGCTCAGGAAGCTGGATCAGGGTTGACTGCTGCTGACATTTTAACAAATTTCAACTTAAGGGTGGAAGAAAGGGGCGCATAGAGAACAGTCCTACAGGCAAAAAGGAATGCCCCCGAGCGGATTCGAACCGCTGTCCTCGGATGCGCTGATTTTCGTAATAGACTTCGCTAAATTCGCTAGGTCTCAACGCTGGGAAATATCAACGCTGTCCGCGCTCTGACCACTGAGCTACGGGGGCTATGGCTTCTCGTTGGGTACCCATGTATCGGAACTGATCCATATACCCTCTCAGGGGCAGGACAAGGTTTGGTGGCAGTGGGGCAGAGGGCGGTGGCGGCGTGAACTCTCGCGATGCTTTCTGACATGTGAATCAAGAGAAGAACATGTCAGTGGCTGCTTGGCCGTTCCATGACTCCCTCAACAGGGCCATGTCTTCAATGCTGAGGTAGCATGGTCCGATCAGCATCCACCTTGCTTGGCTGTCCACTTCAACCTCCTGAAGTCGAGGCCTGACAACATATGGATGTCTTCCTCCAGCAATGAGAACAAGCGTATCCCCTTGTGTGGCTGTGTGAGGCACCAAGCACAAGAACCGTGTCCGTTCGCCAACGGCGGCGCCTCGGTCCATGACGGCTACTCGCATGCCGATCCAAGGCGTTAATATGTTCAATGCGCCAATGGCCTGAGCATATGTCCGATCCCGTTTCACAAAGACGCCAAAGATTCCCGTCAGCCAGATCAGGCCGTGGTAGATGACTGGAGGCAGCAATTTGTGGAGGTATAAGCGCCGATAGAGTCGAGGGGCGAGGATCGCGCATGTCATGGACAACACAGGGTCGAACGCGTGCTCTGCTTCTTGTCTGAGTCGGTCGGGCGGTGTTATCGTATCGAGGGCGCGCGCGTTGGAGGCGAGGAGGTTGGACAATTCGACAGGCATGGTCCGGCCAGTGACCTGTTCTTCTGACGTTAGGTCGTCAACTCTGTTCTGGACAGGAGACAACTGGCGTCGGGCAAATGTGACCAGCTCGGAAACATGTACCATTGTTGGCGCATAATCCACCTGCTTCCTGACAACAGTTCCTACGTATATCAGGTTATGGAGGAAGTGATCCCAGTTCGCCTTCAGCAAGCCAAGGTTTTCCGTCGGCGTAGGGTTTTCCTTTGGGGCAAATGGCTCCATGTTCGCCTCCGTCGTATACGCGTTTCCGAGCCATGGCCCAGGTATTGGCTCGCTCAGCGCCGCGATGGTATCAGTTTCAACTGCTTGGACTATAAGAGCTGTTGGCGAGTCCCTGTGGAAACGCGGACGAAACTCTCCCAAAGGAGGATCATGCGCATTCGAGTTATCGGAAGCCCTGAGCAACCGCTCCAGGTGGTAGGCGTCGGCCACTGTCTGTGCTACCTCGGTTTGCGCCGACACGTTCCCAGGACCCCAGTCCGGCACCCACGAGGGCAAACTTGGGTTTCTCCTGACCGAGGCAGGAGACACAACGAAGTCGAGGAGATCCGGGACCGTGGACCGGAGCAGCATCGCTTGCGTTACTCTCTCAAAGGCAGTTTCTGGACTGGCTGCATAGTCTGGGCTGATGCCAGGATCTCGGGTCGAAATTCCCAGGAGTGCGTAGACCTTGTCAAGTGGACAGGTAGCGCGGAACCATCTGCAGCGGGTCAGCGCCTCGTCAAGTCCTACGTATTGCCCAGCTGCGGTCAGGAAGTGCAGTCTCTCCAGCGCTCGATGTCTTGTGATTCTATAGTTCAACAGCGAGGAGGGCTGCCAGGCATCGGAAGATCCATCAAGCGTCTTGAACGCGGTCTGTATTGCGTCCCACGGAGCAGAGGAGTCGCCGCACATAACAAGGGCCTCTTTGGCGACGCAGAGCTCTTGGACAATCCAGACGCGTGTGTACCACTCCCTATTCAGCATCTGGGTCAACAGGGCTTGTGTCGTCGCTGGCGTCCCCGATCCTTCGGCCGTGTTATTTTTCTTCTCATCTCGCATAGCTCGCTCCTCGTCGTACACCTTGTTCAGGTGGGCAAACACCCAGTCGCTGCGATCACGAGCTGGTCCCATCCAAATTAAAACTCGTTGCGCTCGACGGTAAATGCGGTTCATTATGGACACCTGAGACGTCTTCTCGATAATATGGTTTTGATTAATACAGACGGCGTCAACCCACAGGATCCTCGTGCGGTCTGGATACCGTAAGTGCCTCAGCGCGACGGCCAAGTTGGCCGTGATCCCGATCTCTGCCTCGGTACTGCCATTATCGCCAGGAATTGCGTATTGCAGTTTCAGGCCATCTCTATCCAGCTCCTGACCCCAGAAGTATGAAAGCGCTTCGAAGTTTGAATGTTCGTGATGCAGGGGGACGATGTCGAGTTTGGCCTCGATAGGCGCGTCCTTGTCAGTGCCAGGTCTGAGATGTAAAAGTCGAATGTAAGGACCGCCCGGCTGGGAAGTAATGGTTGAATAAGGCGAGATTGTCATTGCTTGAAACTGAGAGTGTCCAGGGCTCGTTTGCGGGAATATTATCAAGATGTGCAGAAGACAGCAAGTGGTGACATTACAGTGGTTGTCAGCACCTCAGGGTTCAGGGGGTTGCTGCATATTCTCAGTCCCATATTTCAGGTCCGAGGACGATTGGTACATGTAAGCGAGAAATTACATGTAACACAGTGCTTGTTTACACTCTAGAACTAGGCCGGTGTCACCCTAGTCTCTTCCACTTAGGTAGCGGCCCTGCCTGGAAATCCAAGGGAAAGCTTACACAGAGCCGTTACACTACCTAGCACTAACCCTCGCGGCACACTGGACTCCTATTTTGAACATACAGCAGGAAGGCCGTCTTCCTCACTTCTTCATACCATTCAAAATCGATTCAACGCCAACAAACTTGAGCTCCCCTAATGTCTCGTCCCATATTTTAGCCAGGAATGCTTGTCCTTCTTTCGAATAGCCGATCGCCGGATATCTAGATCATGGGTAGGTCAGCATCAGCTTGAATCCTTGGCTTATACCTTCTACCAATTCCAACCAGGAGGATAGGTTCCAACATACGGTTTAATCGCCCAGTCGCTTACGAAAGATCCATGACTCTCCTTGCCCTTCCAGAGTATCGCATCGATATAGTTGCTCGCCGCGACTGCGATTGGTCTAGAAAACGCATTCAAAAACAGCTCGCTCAGCCGGTTGAGGAGCCAGTTCTTCGTGGGCTTCACTCCGTCGCGAAGAAACGTGCTCTCGGTTGACAAGCCTGGATTCACACAGTTGACCACTACTTCGTCCGGGTTGACGTACTCCTCCGCCAGCCTGGCCACAAAAGCGAGCAAGAGCACCTTGGACCTCTGGTATGCGATATCCATGTTATAGCCCTCCGGCTGGTCGAACTGTTCCAGGAACGAAGCTCTGCCGTCTCCGAGTTGATTCAACAGATTCTGGATTGTCCTGGGGTTGTTCAACACCGACCAGTAGACTGTGTCCGACCCGGCAAAGGATAATCTAGCCGGCGGTAGCTGTGCGTCGTCCGCTCTATTCAGTCGTTCTCTCCTCTTCCTGACAATAGGAAGCAGCAATATGGCTAACAGCGCGGTGGAGAGATAGTTCACCTGCAGCACAAGCTCGTGGCCCGTCACACTGCTAATCTGGAAGTCATTCATCGCGACCCCGGCATTGAGAATCACGATATCCAGACGGTCGAGTTCCTTGTCGCAGCGCCTGGCAAATGCTGTTATCGAGTCATAGGACGCCATGTCCAAGATCCACACCCGAACATCTGCATCTGGGAATTCAGTTCGCAGAGCGGACGCTGCTGCTTCTCCCTTTGGGACGCACCTCACGGCGACGATCAGGGTGCTGAGACCCAGGGCGAGGAGCTGTCGTGACGATTCGAATCCGAGACCGACGTTGGATCCAGTCACGATCGCCGTTTGGGAAGCGAACTGAGTGCCGCTTTTGGGAGTAGAGGCTGGCTGCTTGACCCGGAGCTGGCGGTGCATAAAAGCGAGCATGGAGGACTCCCATTGTACACCGGCTTCGAGGTCCTTGGACATGATGGCTGACGATGATATAGGTTGTCGTGGTAAAGGTCAAGCTCTAAGTTTGATTCTTGACTTCAGGGAACCCAACCTCCAAGACTTGACGGCGAGTTTATACTCAGCGATGCCCACCGTTCATCTCTCTTTTGTTGTTTCCGCCGTTCCCGGATCCCGACGGCGTGGTTGATGCTGGGATCCCGGGAGGTGCTAGGCTTGATCAGGAAGCGAGCTCGGATTCAATGTACATTGGTTCATCGGCTTTATGGTGTTGCTGCAGTTTTCCCGATCCCGCCAGCTTTATCCGCGGGGTCGGGGGCCCGTGTATCGGGAGTGTTAAGCGAGGTTACCATTGGCCAGGAATTCCGCCGTTGCTTCGGCCGCCGGCGTGCTTCTTTGTTGTTGAAGTCAGGGGTTGGAAATATACTGTCAACATTATCTACTTTTCGTCCGCCGCAAGACGGCATTCGTGATTTTGTCAAGAAGCATTCTTGGAATTGACGTCTAAAAATTTGTACTTGAATATTCATAATAAACAGGAAAAGACACGTGCAAAAGGCAACAAAAGAAACTATCCTCCAAGTCGAGCAACACATACATGAGTATCCTCCACAACCGCCATGATCTAGATGCCAGTTGCAGGAGGATATCCCCCATAAGCAGGATACCCAGCGACAGACGAACTGCCGCCAGTAAGAGCAGCATGCTCAGCGCGGAGAGCCTCGATAGCTGAGCTGATTACCTCGGTCTGCTGGGATGTTGCCGCCAGCTGTTCCTCGAGCTCCTTGATTCGCTGGTCTTTGCGGTCGCGGTAGACTCGTTGGGCCTTGCGGTTCTGCTCTCGGCGTTTCTAGGATATCATGTTAGCCTCTCGTTACTTGCATGTGCTTTTGTGAGTTTGTGACGTTTCTGGGACTTACGGCCATCTGTTCGGATGTATACTTTCTAGGGGCACGTTTCTTGCCACCCTTCTTCTTTGAGGAGGATTCCTCTTCCGACGCTTCTTGAGCCTCGCCCTCTTGGTCGTATTGGTACATGTACTGATTTTGATCATCTGTGAGGGACCCGGCAGAGGCGTATTGATAAGAGGAAACATAGTCGCCGGTGTTGTCCGAGGTGCCCATATAGGAGGAGTACATGGGGTCCGGGAAGGCAGACGAAGAGGTCATTTCCATGCCCGTGGTCGTCCAAGAGCCTGTCGTGGCA